GGAACTTAAAAAGGTTCAGTATGAAGCCTACGAAACCTTTTTCATCCCACAGAACTTAAAATGGTTTCGAAAACCATTGCGAAACCTTCAAAGTTTGGTGGAACACCTATTTTTTTTACAGTGTAGCGTTAGCGATGTGACACCCAAAAAAGGACATCAACTGTTCCTTGATATACTTTGGTTTTTAAAAATTTCAAATTGTTGCACGATTGTCGAAAACTTAATACACGATTCTAGACATGGTTCTTAAGGCTACCAAATCCTGCTGTAAAATTATTTTAAGCATGTCTAGGTTTTTAAAAAACAAAATCTATTTTTTCGATAGCGACGTGACTGAGTACGACTTCACTATCGATCAAATGCTCTGGTAGCACACTGAAAAGTTCCAAATCAATACCAAGAGGCTCACAGTAATGGTAGAAGTCCTTAGGATAATACTAAGACAAAGGTTTCCGTTTTAGTTCTGTCTAAAGGCTCTGAAAGGTTGATTTTTTGGAAGGAACTTTTTCAAACCCGATCTCGCTGAAAATTTTACCATATATGCGACTCATGCCCTACAGACTATTATGAAGTTTTCACGTTTTTTTCTCATATGGTTATCGAGATATGAACTAATTACTTCTTAATTAATTAATAGCTATATGAAAGAGCAGACAATCTTACATAAGCCTATGAAAGAACAATTCAGTCGAAAACCCTATACTGATAGAGAATTATATTGAAATAGAATGGGTGAATGTTTCGTTTTCGGTGATTTAGCCCATGTATTTTTTCTTTCTTTTATATAGATCAGCATGTAATAATTTGTGTGAAATGTGATGGTAGAGTTTCATGTTTATTTGTTGATTTCTGATTTTAATGTTTCAAATTTAATATTGCTTTTGATCCATTCTATATTTTTCCTTACAGTTATTTGAGTGTGGGTGTGAATCTTGTCTAGAATCAAACTCACACCCACACCTTATGAAATGTTAAGTAAAATTTTAAGATGAAAGAATTATTTTCTGATCATTATTATATCAGAATGAATAATAGTATTGTATTATGACTTTGTACGTCATGTTATAAAAATAATGAGTCTAATTCATAATTACTCAAATAAGTGAAAATAAAAATATTGATCAACAGATAGAGACGATCGTGTTAATATGAAGTTGTTGGAGAATATCGCTTGAGAGAGAGAGAGAAAGTTCTATTTTGACTAATTTAGTGAGTTTTATTGTGAATGAGAAAATGGATAATTAAAAAACTAGATAACTTACTTTTTTCTGTGTATAGGTCAACTGTAAAGGATTTATAAGTAAAAATTGCATTTTAAAATTATCAATACAATATTTAATAAGTTAATTAATATTGATTATCTGTGATTAATCATGAGGTAGATGTGAGTGTCAATATGGATTTGATTGATTGGAATAACCACATTCATAGTTTCGCACATCGTCACCCTCGTGAATTGAAGATTGAATTGATTGTCTCCTAAAGAATCATAATTGTCTTGATATTCTTTTCTCACTTATTTGATAAAATATAAATAACGAATGAAAAGTAATTATTTACAACTTCATTCATCATTGAAGAAGAGATTAAGCTAGCTCACAGTTTTTTCTTTAAGTTTTTATATACATTTTCTCTATTTAAAAGCAATACACTATAACTATAGCAATATTTTTTTATATTTCGTATTTCGGCTAGTAAATCACAAAAATTCTAATGTTGGAAACAAAAGAACAAAATACAAAATCGTTCATGTAGTACAAGCCAGAACTTTAGGATAGCCCTATTCTGCTAATGATATACAATCATCAATATTCCGACACTTGATTTCATGATGATGCTGGCACACTATTGCTGTATCCATACTTGTTGTTTATTTTTTTCAAGTTCAGATATAATTGTTTCTCTCTGACTGAGTATTTTGTCAAAATGGTTTCATCAATATGTATATAAACAAAAAAAAAAGAGCAATTTATGTAAATGTTTATAAAAGAGACAAGAAAAAAACAAAAGAAAAACCATGTTTTATAAGATGTACCAAAAAAGGAGAGGATATTATGAATCGAAAATAGGAGTTGAGAGCATATTTTAGAAAAAGGTTTGTAAATTATAAAACTTTTCATGCTGCATTTTGTTTATTTATAAAAAGTATTTTGAAATTAAAATATGAGAAGCAAACTATGATTATTATTATAAGACATTCGTTATATCCTCATTCAAATTTGATTCTGCTTTATTCGAATGAAGCGTTGAAAATTTTCAACTTGATTAACCTTTGCTACGTTGGTGATCAACGATTAATGATCACAGTTAAATATCGAAGAATTATCAATGTTTACTTCTCAGATAATTATCCGAATCAAATCAAGAAATATCCAGAGATGGCAAAGACTAGCGATAGAAGTAGAGAATAAAAAGAGAATATGCAGCAGTGATGATTTAATTTCGATATCAATAAAAGATTTTGATTTAATCTGCCATATTTATGTTTCATGGGTCATTGCTCGAATTATTTAGCTCCGTTTCTCAACATGATAGTGATGCACCACAACAATCGTTTGACTTTTTTTTCTATTGATTCTCATCAAAAACTAGATAAAGTCACCGAAAACAATAATCAACACTTTATATAGATTACCAAAGATGTCTTATTTAAATATGGAAACATTTTTTATTTATCTCAATGAAAATCAGTTGAAAATGATTAAAACTAATTATTTATCCAAATTAAAAGCATTTCTTTAAGCTGTCTTTTGAGTAATTCTAATGATGAACGATCGATTTGTTTGTATTCATTACCATCTTGTTTTTAACAATATTCTAGCAGAATCTGACAAGGTGATGATCGGACAAAATTGACATATTTACCAAAGATGAAATATTCTTATGATCATGTTCGTGATCTAACCCCGATGACCAAAGGACGGGTAGAAAGACTAGTCTCATATCTAGTCTTGACGGCACGTTCGGTATAGTCTTTTTCTCAGAACGGACTGCTACATGACTAGTCCGAAATCGTTTGAAACAACACCATTACTACTGAAGACCATCAAAATACTTTAAAAATAACGGAAACCACTAAGCTAATTTCATGAAAAATATAATGTTCCATTGAATCATAAACCCAACAATAGAAGAAAACTAAAAGTCTGTTTCCTTTCTCAATAATACCTAAAACGATTGATACTGATCGAAAAACATTATCTCAAAACTCATTTCCATCGAAAGAATGATAATAGTCCACAAAACAATAACAACAACTACCGATTTCCAAAAGCAAAGTAAAACAGTAGTGGTTGCTCGTACTTGAATATTTGCACTCACATTCATACTCAGACTGAAGCATGTTTCGATTCTATAGAGAGGAAATGTATATTAAAAAAAAGTATGCTGAATTTTATTTAGTAATATATAGATTTTTCTAGATTAAAAATGAAACAAAAGTTAATGAAAAAGATATTTTAAGTAGAATCTTGATTGTTTGCGTTTATGATAGCAGTTTGATGCCTAAATATAAATGATAACAAAGTCATATGTTCCGTAATATACACCATCTATATAGACATCAACAGGTCCATCAATTATAAGAATCAATCTGCGTTTAATTCGTTTTTCTGCTCGAGGTACCATTTCAGAATTTGCAATTATTTTGTTACCTTTATCTATGAGAGACACATTCAATCCCTTTTTTGTTTTGAGAAGACCCGTAGCACGAACACGATAGCATCCATTGAGTTTTTTTGTTTTCATACATTGAAGTGAAGTATAAACTTCACCTTTTTCAATAGCTTCGCTCGTTACGTTCAATATAGAGTCAGTGATCAAGGGTACAGCAGCAATATCACCATCGCCACCGATAGATCGTGTAACTATTTTCGATTCATCAATTTTCAGATTGAGTTGACGTGCTTCATTGATCAATTTTTGAACGAGTTCATTTTTATCATTTTGAGCATTAATATTTAATGGAATAAAAAATATTGATAAGACTACAGTAGTGAGTACGAGTTTGTAATGCAGCATTATGTTCTAAAACAAATGAAAAAAAAAGGTCGCAAAATATGAATTTATGATTAGATTAATGCTAGAACGATTGCTGTTTACACCAATCTGTATTGATCCGAAGTTAATAAATTGAAAACAATTTAACTTTTTACGGGCTAACATCTGTACAAGATATATTTTCATTTGTGTCGAATATTTGTCTGATCGAACCTTGTTGTTTTTTTAGAATTCTTTGGACTTTGATAAGTCTAAATGCGTTTTGAAAGTAGAACCAATTTGTGAGAAAACAAAATGCAAAAAAAGTTTTGAGAATATGACTTTCATGATGGATCCCAACAAATGATAGCTTAATAAACCATAATTGTAAAATTCAGGATAATTTATGGTAGTAGTGACCGAAAATGATTACAATTTTATGACACACTCATTGATTGGAAAAAATATGTTATAAATTCTGAAGAATTTTAATATCTGCTGACATAATAACATAAGATAGTATGAAGCAAGTGTACGTTATTTTATGAATTACATTACAAACTTTTAGAGAAGTAATATGGATAAAGGCATGATATTCATAGCCTTCGTATGTGATTTCATCTTGCATCAAGCATATTAGCAAATAATATGGACATGTTTAATTCTTTGTAAAACGGACGTGTATACATCTATCGAGATAGTGTATTGCAGCTAACCATTCCCAAAAAGTTGATAATGAAAACGGTGATAAATCCCTATTCATATCCATTTTACCAACTCAAATCGACGATGGTATCTAATCTATAGCATATATATCTTGTTAATAAAAACTTCTTAATAACACACTGATTTATATACTCGGTAAAGAAAAAAGAAACGTAAGTAATAAGACTTGCCTGTTATTATTCTGATGTTACCAACAATCGAAATATGAATATTTGTGCTAAATAATCGAAACCATTTATATGCACGGGTATTGTCGAAAACTTACTTCTGGGCTCAATGAAGCATAGCGACAACGTCATTTTTTATGTGCATGATATTAGCTCAGAATAACGTAATAGTCACGACTGCATTTACCTGTATTAGATATGACGTTGAAAGAAAAGAAAGTGGTGGTGTGATGTCACAGCTTTTTTCTTTGTTTTATTTTCTTACTCATATCGATTGATCAAAAAAAAGTCGACTAGAACTATGATTCTTCTTACTCAAAGGGAAATAATGCATCGAGTAGCTTCTACCAACAAATCTTTGTTCGTTAGTTCGCATTGAAGAACAAAAGTAAAAGAAAATATTGAGATAAATATATATCAGTATATCTCATAGAACTTGATTTTAGATTCAAATTATTAATTTTAAAAATAATGTAGTGTTTATTTTTACGTTTTATTTTATTTACGTGAAAATAGAAATTTTTATCAACATATGCATGCATAGTCTCCAGTGGATATTAGGGGTGTACCGCTGACGCTCATGAGCGTGAGCGTTTTCTGACTTAAAGAAAGTACAAGTGTCTCTGATCACTTTTTAAAACTTTATTCCTCGAAAATCGATATTGATGATTTTTGTGTATGGGGTCCCCTCAGGTATCATGAAAAATTTTTTTTTTCATCAGTCAAAATCAGATGTAGTGGTCGATTGAGAGGTGCTGGTTAAGAGTATCACAATGAGAGCTCTCGAAGTCTTTTTATTTCTTAAATAGTCCTAACAACTCTATGCACCATATTCTTCATTATTGGGGTCCTCATAGAATATTTATTCACTCATATTTAGCCGGAAACATCTTTTCATTCATTCATTCATGTTCTTCCCCTTGTCCGTTCGGATCGGGGTTTAAGCCCGTTCAGTAGTAGTTTCCATCGGTTTCGATCTTTCGCCGCTTGTTGTATCTCGAACCATTGGAGGTCTAGACGCTCCTGGCTGAGTTTTTCGATGTATTTGTGCCAACTTGTTCTTGGTCGTCCGATTGGTCTTTTTCCCATTGGCTTAGCTTGGAATATTTGGTACGGTAATCGATTTTGTGACATTCTTAGGACATGTCCTAACCATCGTAATTGTGAACGTTCAATATGAAGAAGTAGCGGTTCAACTTGTAGAGATTTACGTATGCTGGAACTTCTGATTTTATCTCGAAGTGTCAAACCAGGTGCTCTACGTAGAAATCGCATCTCCGCCGATTGTATTCGAGAGCGAGTTTTCTCTGTCAATATCCATTGTTCATGACCAAATATGAGTGTAGGTCGATACACTGATTTGAAAATCGCAAGCTTTGTCTTTTTACTAAATTCTACTTTAGTCACAACCGATCGATAAAGTGAGCGTAAGACACCACTTGCTGCGCCGATTCGTCGATCAATTTCACCATCCTGTTTTTCATCGTTCGAGAATTGTACGCCTAGATATTTGAATTTGTTCACTCGATTCACCAGGTTGTTGTTTAGATGAAGGTTGCATTGATTAGGTTCTTTTGAAACCACCATTAATTCCGTTTTCTTCTCGCTGATCTTCATACCGAAGGTTGAGCATATCCCTTGGAATCGATCGAGAGCAACTTGTAGTTTACTTGCTGACTCTGTAAGGCGAGCCACGTCATCAGCAAAGAGAAGAGAGTCCACCTTGACGTCGCCTATCTTGATACCGGCTGGACTGCTACTTGTTCGAGATAACTTGTCCATGAATACCATAAATAAGAGTGGAGATAATACACATTCTTGTCGAAGTCCAACTTGAACCTGGAAACAATCTGATTTGCTACCGTTTATTCGGACGCAGCTTTGGCAGCTGTTGTATAAAGATTGAATTGAAGCTAGGAGTTGACCATGGATTCCATATTCCTTTAATACTTTCCAGAGTATGCCACGTGGTGCTCAATCGTAGGCCTTCTCCAAATCAATGAATAGTCTATAAGCTGGTTTGGCAAATTCCCATGACTTCTCCAGTATTTGTTGTAATGTGAATATTTGATTCGTTGTTCCTCTTCCTGCACGGAAGCCGCTTTGTATTTCTTGGATTTGTGGTTCAATGATATTTCGACATCTCCGTTCGATTATTCTAGCAAAGACTTTTCCAGGAAGACTTAGCAAAGTGATTCCTCTGTAGTTTGAGCACTCTTTTTGGTCTCCTTTTTTGAATATAGGAACCACAATACCAGTCTGCCACTCCAGTGGAGCTTTACGGGTTTTCCAAACCACACTGCAGATCCGGGTAAGCCAATGTATACCAACAGAACTGAGAGCTTTTAGCATCCCAGGTCTGATTTCATCTACTCCCGCAGCTTTACCAGATTTAAGTGATTTGATGGCTGCTGTGACTTCAGTCATAGATATGTCATTGGATTCATTGATATCAGGTTCACTTGATTGTATCTTATGTTCAGCCGATGAGTTGTATAAATCTCCAAAGTATTCTTTCCACCGATTTACAATGTCTTCTTCTAGTGTCAAAAGTCGACCTGAAGTATCTTTCACTGAACGAGTTGATTTTTGTCCACCTTTATAAAGTCGCCGGATGGTTAGCCACAATAATTTGTTTGCCGAGTGGTGATTGTATTCTAGTTGATGGCCAAAATTGTTCCACGATTTTGCTTTTGCTTCAGTTACAAGTTTCTTTGCTATATCTCGTAGTTGTTTATAGTTTTGCCAATTTTCTGGTGTTTGTCGTTGTATCCATCCACGATATGCTGTTTTCTTTTCACCGATAGCTTTTCGAACTTCTTCAGTCCACCATTCTGTTTTCTTCTGTCCATGTTGGAGCCCAACGCGCTTTGTTTCACATGTATCCGTTGCAACGTCGAATAATGCCATGCAAAACAAACGCCATTCTGATTCAATATCGACCTCCATCGGTGATAGTTGAGAGTATCGTTGATCAACTATTTTTGCGAAGTTTCGACTGATTTCTTCATTTGCTAATGCCTCCCACCTTATTCTTGTAATTTTCTTTCGTTTCATTTTTCGTATTGGTTCATTCAATGATAATTCTAAAATGCAAAAGACTAAGTGATGATCTGTTGCTAGTTCTGCTCCACGTTTGATCCGAACATTCATCACTGTACGTCGTAGGTTGTCGGATACAATGACGAAGTCGATTAGTGAACTTTGTATCGTAGAATCTCCTGTCTTGTACCATGTATATTTGTGGATGTTCTTGTGTTGAAAAAATGTATTCAGGGTGTGTGGGTGTGGGTGTGGGGTGTACGTGTGGGTGCGGGTGTGGGTATGGGTGTGTGTGGATGTGGGTGTGCGTGCGGGTGTTGTTACTAGCTATAATTCACAG